CATACATACATACATACATACATACATACATACATACATACATACATTTCTTACTTACTTACTTACTTACTTACATTACTTACATTACATACATTACATTACATTACAATACAATACATTACATTACATTAGCCCCAAGTACCTATTAAAAAGCCTCTCCGATTAAAGCAACACCATGTCCCAAACCCTAAATACGGCTTATATGTTGTTTTAAATTACCGCCCTTTCATGCCGCTACTAAACTACCAACATGGTCGATTTGTTGTGTAGTTTTTAAGAATTTGGTTCCAAAAACAAGCGTAACTGCCCACCTCTGTCCGCCCTGTGTATCCACCATGACACGCGTTTACGCCAGCAGGTTTTCCTTCCCCTAATGGCACAGACTCACGTAAACGCACTTGCCACCGAGGTCGCGCACAACCGGATGGCACAGCGACATCACCTTTCGAAAGCTTTGGTTGTTAGTCTAATGAAGAATATATAAGCATTCTAATAGAGGTTTCGGTAGGGTAAAAGGAAGACCCTTCGATCTGGAGGTCTTTTGAATTTTTGATACGAGTCTAATAGTAATAAAGGATGTTATTTTTAAAAAATCCTGGATGTTTTTTTGGTTTTGAAGCTCTTCCCAGGTGACCCTATTTTGGACCCCCGCGACTTCAGGAACCCCCTATTTAAAAAAATGCGACCGAGTTTTTCTTATTTGGGGGGGGGGGCCGGCGTGATTTTTTCAATAGGTGGACAGGATTACAATAAAATATAATACATTACATTACATTACATGTATACACTGCATTAAACTACACTACACTACATTACATTGCATTACAATACTATACATTCATACGTACAGAATCAAATTTGCCGTGGGGTGATCAGAAAGGAACAGCGCTAGCCATGTGCAACGTAATTTTCCAAGCAGTGCAGTCCAAAATTATATAAATACTATAGCCCCACTCCCGGACAATAGAATTCGTTAGTCAAACTTTCTCGCCCCCCAAAAAGGATGCTGTCTCTTCTTCCGAAAGCTACCGCCCTGCCAGATTTGGGTCCCCGTTTTTTGAGACCATGAAACTGCGGGAGTGCAACGATAGAGTTGGACCACCAAGGGGATCTGGAATGATAATTATATATCTGATAGTTTGTGGGCTGTATCGTCAACATAGTGGCAACATGTTTTAAGTCGGACACACAGTGGTTAGTCATTACACATTACTAAAACATATAAAATATACATATAAGTAATTAATAGACTATCAAATTATATATATAGAATAACGTTGGGATGTCCCTGTGACTTCCGGACTCAGGTCTTCTCAATACCACCCCACCGGCCCTCGACTCCTGCGGACGAATCAACGTCCGTCACACCAAAGCTTGGTGAGCACACCTATGTGGATTTAGGGTTAAAGCTTAATGAACCCTCGGACTCGGTCATTCAAAGTAGGGGGCCCCCCAGCTTGGATGCCTTTTGGTCTACTTCCTTTCTATTAGGGGTAGAACTGAGAGATGTGAAGGGATATTAACTCGATGGTCCATCACATGCATCTCAATCTACAGAAAAGATGAATTGCTGGTCCAAGTTGCAGTGTGCTCGATAGCAAGGATCTAATCATCATGCCACAGCAGCATTGTCGGGCAAAGATCTGGGTCAGTGAAGTGGACTGCATCCAAGAAAGACAACGTGAACACTTCCAACACGTCCAACGTGACGTGTTAAGCTCCATGGCATACTGCAACCCACCTTTGTGGAGATCTTTCACCAGGTACCAGGGTCATCCTGTCTGGGTGTCCAATAGACTACCCTACTTACAGATCTGCATTGGGCACCCGTTGGAACTGCTAGGTAGGTGGTTCCTTTTGAGTCAAAAAGCTTTCCTCCCCCAAGCGAGCACGATCCCGGCAGCCCCCGCGGTCCGGTCACTTCCGGCCTCGGGGCAGCCTGCAAAGCGGCGCACCGCCACGGGCTGGTTCTCCCAAACGGCCTGGCCAAGGTGACGACGCGGCCCACGGTCCGAGCTACGTTCGGAACGCCCGGGGGGAGATAGGAAGGGAGAGAAGATCCAAGACCACTGACCACTATGGTTTGAGATGAAGCTAGCGTATTCCAAGCAAACAGTCCCAAATGGCATTGCAGGAACATGCCATTGGAAGTGTCCAAACGTGCCACACCTATCATCGGTTCTTTTCTACTGCTGGGCATCGGCCATCAAGCAACAGCGATTAACAGGGCAAGACATTGTAGCATGAGACACTTATATTTCTACTGTAAGTACACTCCCTTTATCTCTCTCTCTCTCTCTTTCTGTCTCTCTAAACATTCCAGTGTTGTCTCTGGTTTGGACTCACCACCGACTCACACGCTCTCCGGTTCTCGTGAGTTCAGTGAGCTGACTGCGCCTGGTGGAACGTGACAAAAGATTTGATGTCCACGCTATCACAATCTCGGACAGTCACGGTGCTGTGGGGCCAACTTGATGTCCCTCTAATTTTTGAGAGGATCACACTTGATCACACTAAACAAGCCAAGAGAGTGGTTGGGAGACCTTATAGGACCCGTTGAGCTTAAGAATTGGACTAAACGGGCTCAAATGGGCTCAGAATTGCGCTAAACGGAACGTTGATGGGCTCCATGCGGTTGAGCTCATTCTGCACTACCAGTCTGTGCCAAACACATATCAATACCTCGTGCCACACATCCCATGTTGTGGAGATTTGCGCGCTTCTCGATTAGCTTTTCCATCTTGGGATGTCCTGGTGTTCTCGCGGTGCCAGTCTGCAAAAGGTCTTGGGAGCCATGGTCCAAATGACTCTTGCGGATCTGGGGTTTTCTGTGCGGGGAACTCCCTGGGCCAAACCCACAATGATGCGACGACTTCGACCATCCCTCACATGCATTTGATCATATCAAGTGATTGACCAATAAACCACAAAGTCCATAACAACCAAAAGATCAACCCTAAGGCCAAATGCCCTTCGAAAAATGGCTCTTGATTGGTTTACAGCCTTTGAGGGCACGGTAGTACGGTAGCATCATCTTTAAAACAGGACGTTGCTTCTATCTACTTGGGGCCTACTGCACAACAATTGGTATACACCCTCAACCAGCAACAATCCCCTAACTAAGATTAATGATAATAGTATATAATGACCGTTGTCGGACTTTATACTGGGTGGGGGGACATCCCAACATGTTGCCATGGATCTCCTTATGGCGGGAATGGTCATCGTGGTCATCCTCGCGTTTGCAAAAAATGGTTGATTAGTACAATCACAACCCGCTACGACCAAGTACGTACTTGTGTTGATCAGGGAATAAGGGAATGAACCCCTACTATTGATACCTAAAAATCCAACCACCTTCATATCCTCATTATTCCTCATTGCTTACTTGCTGAGCTTCAGCATCTGTGCTTGTCTTTCGACGTACTGTTGGACTTGTCAACCTCGACCATGTTTCATGCCGCACTGTCGTACTTGTCCACCGATGACCAAAAGCCTGGGGGGCCCCTGACTGGGAGCCAAAAGCCTCGCCGCACGAAGAATGGTACGGTGCGGACGGTGCGATGATCCGGTGCGATGAGAAAAAGAAGGACATCATGGTGGGAAGCGAATCCGAAAGATCCATCTTCCTCATCCTGGCCGAAAGAAAGACCATATTATAGTCCTATGATCATTATGATCAGTCCAAATCTTTTGAAACTGAAAGTCACACTTAACATCACGAGATGAGACTCGAAAAGACAAACACGTGAGACACGCAAAAAGGTCAGAAAGTTGTCGTTTGACCGGCAATGCGGGCTCTAAGCCAACCAGTGACAACTCAACCCAGGTGTCTAGCACCAAAGAATGTGCCTCAAGAATGCAGCCAGTGTGGCAATATGTTGTTTACGTCATTCCCTGAAGTTCCTTGGCTTCTTGAAATTGACCTCCAGCCTGCTCATGCAGCAGTCAATCGATCAGGTCCTTGAATTGAATAGACCTCTGTGTTTCGCCTTGTGCATACATGTATTTGAGTAATATGTATGTCCGCATGTCTATTGAGACCTGCGTAACACAACATGGTCTTAAGGCTAGCTTCGTTGAAATCCTTGAATCATATCCTGCTTGCTACCAGCATTTTATGAGTCGTCCAACTCCTGATGAACCATCACAGACTCACTGCTTCTTGTTACTACTAGTAAGGCACCTGTTACTACTAGCGTGGCACTTGTTACTACTAGCTAAATGAAAACTCTCTTGCGATTGACTTCTGCCATGTTGATCCCATGGTTGTGGGTCACAACCACGAGACCGACCACCACCTACCGACGAGACCGGTCGTTTTTGGTTGGCGTTCTTCCATTGGAAGGACGACCGTCGGGCGAACACGGTGGGTCACGACCTATCGCCATAATTCGCCATCTCCATCCATATCCCATTCATCCAGCTCACAACGCCGCCTCTGCTTGTATTGGCAGAACGTATCGACATCAATCGCCATATTCCTGAGGTCCGGTGCATTCGTCGTCGTGTGTTCTTACGGTAGGACCGGTAGGTCAATTTGTCGGACCGGTAGGTCCGGAGGTCTCTGAAGCGGAACGGAGGTCGACTGATAGCGCACCCGGGTAGCTGTAGACTCTTGAGGAAAAAAACACCCCGGTGTAAAGAGGTTGTCCAATCTAAAATGGGGAGGGTTTTCTGCATATAAGAGTCTGCATTCGATGGTTTTCGGATGTTTGTTCGGATGTTCCGTGAATCTTCGAATGTTCCGAAACTCAGGTCTGCAGGGTTGCTTCATCAATGCGTTGACATGGCTGATCCCCTCAGTTCCACTGACTGGTACTGTAACCGTCAAGGGGCAGCTGAAGGGCGTCCAATTGCCAAGGTCCTTTACTTTGGGCACTGTCCACCAATCCGCAATTCCAATTACCGAGATCCAAGGAGTTTAGACTACAACACCAGGTCAACCATCGTTGAAATGATCTTGGAAGGCCAGGGTTCACTGGCATGTTTTTTATGCATTTGTTGTTCTTCTCTCCGCAGCCTGTATAGAATCACAAAAACGTCCCGGTTTCGCAAGGACACGATCAGTCTGCAACTGTTGAACGACGTGCGTTCCGAACATTGAATGGGAACCCTTCGAACTGGTACACTCACACTGACTAGCGTGGATAGCATGACCCCTTCTGAAAAGTACTACCTTGCAGTTTGCATCACCTTGCTGTCAAGTGTCCACTGAGTGGGAGAGTAAACAGTGCAAGCAGTGAACACAACATGCTCAACATGTTTGGCATGGTCTTGCCCTGCAATGGGAAAGAGAGAGAGAGAGTAAAACACATGTCCCAAGGGAGCATGGTCACCAACAACAGCACGGATAGCCATCCGATGCCATCCCCATGCATCAGGCAAGTGGGCTTTACTTCGGTGTGAGATGATGAAAACTTCATCCCAAATAAGCAAGAAAACGTGCAAACAGATTCATCGACAAACATTGTCAAAGAATGTAAACGACGTAACCTTGTGCACGGCTCACACCACTTTGAAGCCCCAAATGATGTTTTCCCACCCCACAGCAGACACTTCCCCATCTTTCCCCCAAACAAAAAGACCGAAGCTGGCTCCGTGGCGCCCCAAGTACTTTACTTCGAGTGATCCCCACACTGACACTTCAATCACTTGTTTTCATGCCATGGTGAGGAGCATGTCGCCATGGTCGTGAGTTTTGTGGCTTTTGGTTTTGCTTGTGGGTCCTGTGCTTGTGGTTTTGTTTGAGGTCGTGCGCAGTGGTTGTGTGCTGCGGTTGTGTGTTGTAGTTGCGTGTTGGCGGTTGTGTGTTCGTGGTTGTGTTGTGTTTGTGGTTGTGCTTGTGGTTTGTCTGCTTGTGGCTGTGGCTTGTGTCTGTGTATGTCTGTGTTTTGTGGTTGCGTTTTGTTGGTTGCGTATTGTGTGTGTTCGTGATGTTGTGTGTTGAGGTCCGGTAGTGCCCACTGCGATCTGGCGCTTGCAGTTGAGGTCCGGTATCTGGCACACGCTGAGGTCTGAGACTGCCCACTGCCATCTGGCGGAGAAGGCTATCTGTAAGAATCTAAGAACCCTGCACCTGACAGGTGGGGAAAAACGGACCCTTAGGCCGTGGCATCTCCCCAAAGGACCTTCGCAAATCGTGGAGGCTCACCTGGACCACGTCGGTCTGAGAGATGTGGATCTGAGCAGCAAAACCGTTCGGGTGTGTAGCGAACAACACGTAGAGAGATCTCCTAGGTGTGTAGATCTCGGTGGTCGCCGTATCATTAAAAAAGATGGAGCAGTCTACCGATTGGTTTTAGGCATCCCTATTCACACCCATCTCTCAAAAAGAACTGCAAAATGCATGGTTTGACCATCGAATCGATCTTGATGTTTCCCAAATCACGCGTGGCTGTAGTGGCCCCCCCCCCAAAGCAGCCCGAAACTCCTCCAGCTACTTCTCCACACTTCATCACACGACTCTCGCGCTTTTCTCTAAGGCCCCACGGCACATGACCCGGGCCGGGCCGTTTCGCACCTCCCCGAGGCACTTGTAGTCCATATCGGAGAAGAGTTGTTCGACCCTTTTTCGATGCCATGCCTCCGGACGTGAGCGACGGAAGGAGAGTGGCGTGGTGAGAAACAGCTCGGTGGGTTCTCAGGGCGGAAGCTGATCTGAAGAAACGAGAGGAGTGAAACACCCTGCCTCGAATGGTGCAATAATCCAAAGGAGGGTCACCCTTTTGAGCTTTTCTACAAGGCCCGGTAGCGAAGTTAATCCAACAACTTCTTCATCACGACTTCTCCTCTCCTTTCGGTTCGGAGGTACCTTCTGTCCAAACATGTTTGGCACTTCGAGAGCACCGTTTCATTGCCTCTTCTCAACTCCCACTCACCAACATTCGCGCTGACCCAAGACCCACCCCTCGTACGAGTGGCATCTTCCAACGAAAAACGAGTACTCCAAGCCATGTTGAAAGGCCTAAAGATCTGGTGGCGAAACTGCGAAACACGGTGCTTTCATGGAAACGACGGGATGCCGGATGCCGGATGCTAAGAGGACTGAAGAGGACTGAGTTCCTTGTACCTTTGGTTGATTTTTGGTGGAGTAAAGGCAACCGCAACTGTAACAGCCAGAACAAAAACCGCAACCAAAACAGCTGCCACAACAAGCACAGCCGCCACCACCACCACAACAACAACAAGCACCATGACGACGACGGTGACAGAGACGAAAACAACATATTACACGCGCAGGACCTTGGTGAGAGAAACCTTCCAAACATTGCAGCCAAAATGATCCAACATGTTCAAATTATTTCTAATTCGTCAAGTTTCGATGTCATCATTCACAAACTTTCATGTCGGACAATTGAACACCCTCACAGTACCACCATTCAGAGTAAACACAAATTGCCTGCTAGCATCTGTTGGCAGAAAATTAACTTTCTATCTATTATACTATACAACTGACCTCTTTGTACAGTCTAGAGTTGTATATGTAATTAGTAGCTAGTGTTGCTTTCCAAACAACAAATTGAACAAACAAACAAGACAAGACAAGACAAGACAAGACAAGAAAAATAAAAGAACACCCCCCAACACTTTCTCTTACGGCCGCGGTTCGGTCTTCCATGTTCCTCCCGTTTCTTGGCGCATGGCCTTGGACTGTGCATCCGGCATGGCGGTCCTGCTCCGTCCGACGATGCGCAGCGTTTCATCGAGGGATGGGATGACAGAGATGGTAGCCTGAGGCAATAACATGGTCCAAAGCTAGCAAGGGAGGCCATTGCTACTAGGGTGGAGGCCATGAATACTACTATATACCGGTCCACCAATAGATGGCACATCCAAACTCGAGAGATAAGATGGCAAACCAGGGGGAAAAAATGTCCCAAATCAAAAAAAACTGGGGAAAAGTTGCAAAAAGGCACAAAAAGCGCCTGATCCCTTCGACCGGTTTGATGGCACATCAAAGCTCGGTAGTTAAGATGGCAAACCAGTGAAATATATGTTCAAAATGAAGAAAATCAAAAAACAAAAAACCCAGCAAAAATTGCAACAAAGGCAGCAACACGGTCTTTTTCCCGCGGCTCTCACCTGCCCCCCTATTATATATATACTTCCCCTCTCCTGCGCTTCTCTTCCTCTTTCCGTATATCTGTCCTATTTCTTTTCCTTGCCTTGTTCTTTCCTCTCTTCTGGTTCCTCTTTCATTTGAACCTGCTATATCTTCTTCATTCGTTTTCTCCCCTCCCCCCTGACAGCCTCCCCTCTCATCACCTGGCATGTGCCATCTTAGTGGCTCCAATCATCAACCTCTTTTTCCTTCTTCCTTTGTCTCTTATCCTCTACTGTCCCTCTTTCTTCCTGTATATCTGTCCTATTTCTTTTCCTTGCCTTGTTCTTTCCTCTCTTCTGGTTCTTCTTTCATTTGAACCTGCTATATCTTCTTTCATTTGTTTTCTCCCTTCCCGCCTGACAGCCTCCCCTCTCATCACCTGGCATGTGCCATCTTAGTGGCTCCAATCATCCCAGCTCTCCCACCTGCCCCACCCCTCTTATTTATCCTTCCCCTCTCCTGCGCGTCTCTTCCTGTTTTCCTTTTTCTCTTTTCCTCTACTGTCCCTCTTTCTTCCTGTATATCTGTCCTATTTCTGTTCCTTGCCTTGTTCTTTCCTCTCTTCTGCTTCCTCTGTCATTTGAACCTGCTATATCTTCTTTCATTTGTTTTCTCCCTTCCCCCCTGACAGCCTCCCCTCTCATCACCTGGCATGTGCCATCTTATAGTGGCTCCAATCATCCCAGCTCTCGAACCTGCCCCACCCCTCGTATTTATCCTTCCCGTCTCCTGCGCGTCTCTTCCCCTTTCCTTTGTCTCGTATCCTCTACTGTCCCTCTTTCTTCCTGTATATCTGTCCTATTTCTTTTCCTTGCCTT